GCCTTCTGTCAGGACACCTGGGTGCGCGGATGTTGCCCTGGCCACAGAGCATGCTATGCTGTCTTTGCTCTGCCTGGGGCTTCAGAACAACTCATTCATTCTTTCTCTTTCTCTCTGCATCTCTCTCTGTGTCCCTCGCTCTCTGGTTGTTTGGAGACAGGGTCTGGATCCATAGCTCAGGCTAGCCTGGAGATCTGTGTCACCCCGGCTGACATCAAACTCATGGCCGTCATTGTGCCTTAACCTCCCCAGTGCTGATAGGAGCCACCATGTCCAGCCAGCTTCATGGCATTGCTCTCTTTTCAAGTTTATGTCTCTCTCTAATCTAAAATCTTAGCTGTTAAGGAGTCTGGGAAATGTGGTTTAAAGCTATTTCTTTTGCCATTTATTATAAAATAAAACTTGGGGACAAATATTAAAGATAAAACCCCGAGATGACCATAAATTACTGCAAAAATACACCACCACCGGTGGCTTCCCATCTGGAAAAGGCCCATGCAACCTTCTGGTCCTGCCTCCTCCTCCCTGGGGCCTCTCGAGTCCATCAGTAAGCTCTGATGTATTAGAAGCCGCTGATGTGAACCCTGCCTCTGGAGGCAACTCTCTATTCCAATTAACATCAGACCACGACATAGACAAAATTCCTGAAACCATAGTTTTTTCCTATTTTGGTACCCACAGTACATGAAGCAAAAAGTCACACAAGTTGGCATCTTATCCCCTGGCATTGGAGATGGTTATGAGCTGCCCAAACCTGGGTGCTCTGGAAAAGTAACAAATGCTCTTAACCACTAAGCCATCTCTTCTGCCCCAGCTTTGTTGTTTGTGTGTTTGTTTTGAGACAGGGTCTCACCCTGGGGCTCAAGCTGGCCTGGAACTCACAGAGCTCTGTCTGCTTTTGCCTCAAGAGTATTGGGATTACATGGATGCAGCCCCATACCCAGTCTTCAGAGGCTTTGAGTGGCTGGGATCCAGGGTGTTGAACTGTAGTGTGCCACAGGGCTGGGCTGACATGCAGGCTCCCCGGGGAAGGCATTGGCAGGGGTGGTGAAGCAGAAGTGTGATTGCCTGTCTTCACTGGACATTCTTGTAGGAACAGGGTCAGGGCCTTGCAGCTGAGACCTGGTGTGAAGGCTCCCAGGACTGGGGAAATGACAGCAAGGAGGCGCCTCCACCACCACCCCCCTCAGACTTGGGAACTGATTGTAACAGTGTCAGAACTGGCGACTGGGCTGCACAGCTCCAGGCTCTCCACCTGCAGGACACAGACCCAGCTGTCGCTTCCCCCTCCCCTGAAGCGCCAGGGCTGCCGGCACCTACGGAAGGGCCAGGGCTGCCGGCACCTACGGAAGTGCCAGTGCCTCAATTCCAGCCCTACTACATCTGTGTCGCCAACGAGGATGACTACAGGAAACCTGCAGGTCTTGATCACGCCCAGAGCCTTCTGCAGGACTACAAGCAGAGAGAAGGGGTTGACCTGGAGCACCTGCTTTCCCTGTGGTGAGAACTTGCTACCAAGGTTGAGAGCTTCAGGCAGGAGGCTCCAGCGGTTGGTTCCTTCCTGTCTTGGTACTTATGGCAAGTTGTAGAGAGAAGGGATGGGTTGGGCTCTTGTGTTCTACTCTCCAGTCTCAGGCCAGGGCTATCTATGTCCGCTAATCCGAGTTAACCTGCAGACATGCAGCTGAGTGCCCGCACGACCTGAAGTAGATGAGCAAATGGGTTTGCCGTGCTGGTCTTACAGAAGACCTCTCCATTTCTTTAGCTCTTTTTCCGTCCTTTCGTGTGTTTCCTGTTGTGTTTGGGGGTGCCAGGGGCTGAGCACAGGGCTGAAGCATGGTAACGGAGTATTTTACCATGAGCTGTACCCTCAGCCCTTATTCTCTTTTCATTTTTTAACTTTTTTTTTTTTTTTTACATTTATTTGTATGCATACGTGCATGGTGTGGACATGGGGAGGTCAGAGACATGGCTGGAGAATGTGCTCTTCTGCCATGTGGGTTCTGGGGACGGTAGTAAGCACCTTGACCCACTGACACATCTCTTGGACCCTGTTTTGATTTCTGTTCTTGTTGTTTTGATTTTAAGACAGGGCCTCATGTGGATCAGGTTGGCTTTAAACTCTCCTTGAAGTGAAGGATGACCTTGAATTCCTGATCCTCTGCCTCTACTTTCTGAATGCTGAGAGAGGGTGTTACGCAGTGCTGGGGACTGAACCCCGTGCTTCCCTGGTGGACGCAAGCAGTCCTCCAGCTGAGCTACATCCGCAGCCCTCTTTTCTGGTTTTAGTTTTAAAAACTCCTGACAAGGAATTTGTGTGTGTGCACACATGTGTTTATGAGTGAGGTTTGCACATGCTGCCACGGTACACGTGTGAGCTCCAGAGCCCCCCCCCCACCATGGGTTCTGGGGTTGAACTCAGGTCTTTGTAATTGGCAGCAAGTGCCGTCTTGGGGCCTTCTGTTTTCACAGGGCTTCTTTTGTTTTTTCGAGACAGGGTTTTTCTGCAACCCTGGCTGTCCTGGAACTTGCTCTGTAGACCAGGCTGGCTTCAAACTCACAGAGATCCGCCTGCCTCTGCCTCCCGAGTGCTGGGATTGAAGGTGTGGGCCACTGTGGCCCAGCCTTCACTTGTCTGTATTACAGAGAAAGATGAGTTAGAAGAAACGCCCTTTGTTTAATTACTGCTCTGGCTCCAGAGCTGCCTCAGACTTTGAGGCCATTCCAGACTCGTGGTTCTCATAGGTGAAATGGCAAGGCTGGCGGCTTTCTCACATGTTTTGGTGGGTCCCTGAGAGTAGATCTAGAAAGGCCATGAACCAAAGCACTAAAGGAGGAAAAATGGACTCTTAAAAGTTGACCTCTGACCTCTACGGTGCTATGGCACATGGGCACCAAACCCCAACACACGTAATTAACAGATAGAGAAAGAAAACTATTTTGCTTCCTCTTGCAAGTAAATAAATGCTCTAGTTCTCTCTGTGGTTTTGTTTCGTTTTTTTGTTTTCTTGAGACAGGATTTCTCTGTGTAGTCCTGGCTGTCCTGGAACTCACAGAGATCCACCTGCCTCTGCCTCCCGAGTGCTGGGATTAAAGGCGAGCACTAGCACCACAAATGCTCTAGTTCTCTAGACATTCATTGTCTCGTGTGGTCTTTGCTTCTCTCTTCAGTTCTGCTGGTGATGGGGATGAAAAATATGAGAAGACTAATATTAGAGGTGGAGATCAGACGTTTTACAAGTTCATGAAGAAAATTGCGGCCTGTCAGGAGCAGATTCTGAGGTAAAGAAGACATATTTGGTTTCTGTTTTACCATAGAGGTAGCATGCTGACAAGCACCTACAGTCCCAGGGACGCCTCAGGGTAAAGTGGGAAGGTCATCTGGCCAGCCTCAGCAACAGTAAGGTGCTCATCTTTAAAGTATATTTTTATTATTGTTAATTATGTGTGTGTTTGTGCATGTGACTTCAGGTGCCATAGATTCCAGAAGAGACAGGCAGTGGTGAGCTGCTCCATGTGGGTGCTGGGAACTGAACTCGAGTCCTCTGTTCTTAACCACTCAGCCCTCTTTTGAGCTCAGGAGGCACGCACACTCTCTCTTTCTTTAAGTGTATATGTATGAGGGTGCCCACGCATGGGAACTGGTGTTAGGGGTGGTTATCAGCCATCATGTGGGTGCTGGAATTGAGCGTGGATCCTCTGCAAGAGCAAGACGTACTCTTAACTGCTGAGCCGTCTCTCCAGTCCCAGCTTTCAACTTTTTAAAAGAATTGGCTAAACCGTTTTCCTGAATGTCATTTACCCTTTTTATTCCTTCCCATTGCCCGTGTGTTTTAATCCTAGTTCCTTCAGACTTTACTAGGACTTGGTATTGAAATCATCCATGCCAGATAGTTATTGACAACCACGATGATTAAGCCAATTAAAAGTTTCTGAGTCCCTTTAGTCCCAGTATTCAGAAGGCAGAGGCAGGCCTATCTCTGAGTTCAAGGCCAGCCTGGTGTACAGAATGAGTTCTAGGACAGCCAGAGAGACCCTGTTTCAAAATGCACACACACCCACACATGCATGCATGAGTACACACACACACACACACACACACACACACACAGAGTTATGAGTCCTTTTATTAATGGGCAGACCAAGAGCAGGCTGGCACCTCTGGAATCTCTTGTTGCCCACGCTCAGGGTATAGTGTTTTTAAAGATAAAACCACAATTACAACAGTGCTCTAGGTGGGGCTGTATCAGTGAGTGACCTGGGGTGGCCTAGTGGTAACGTGCTCAAGGTATAGTGTGCTCGAAGACGATCCTTAGTCCGTAATGCTAAGATTTCTTTGTTCAGATAAACACCAGCCAAATGCAAGCCAGAGCGTGCCCAGAGGCAGTAGGCTAGCGAGGCCAGAGAGAGAAGAAGGGGCACCACCTGTCCTCAGCCCCCTAAGAATTCTGCCCTCCCCTGACCACGCCCTCACAGGCGTGGCCAGGCACACCTGTAGGGGCTACTAGGAGGCGGGGCTACAGTGTCTCCCTACAATTCCCCTTTTAGTCTAAAAGAGGATTAAGACTTAATAGTGTGACAGGCGGTGGTGGTGCATGCCTTTAATCCCAGCACTCAGGAGGCAGAGGCAGGCGGGTCTCTGTGAGTTCGAGGCCAGCCTGGTCTCCAGAGCAAGTGTCAGGATAGGCTCCAAAGTCACAGAGAAACCCTGTCTCGAAAAAAAAAACCAAAAAACTTAATAGTGTAAAGTATCCAAAATTAACAATCATAAAGGTGAAATACAAGAAGATACAATAATCTGCTATGTCACATCCTAACTATGTCTATTACAGCTAAGCCCTAAAGTCATGTGGAAAGGGTGTCTAACTTGAACACCTCCTTCCAATCCTAACTCTAAACAATAAGAAAGTTATTCCTAACTAGGCTTACAATATCCTAATAGACAATAATGGGGAACGGGGGATAGCATCTTCTAAGTTACTTCCTGCTGTAATGGGACGATGGTAGCCTTGAGGGGTCCTGTGGGAAGATAATGTTAGCATAGGGAAAGTCTCTAATGGGTTATCTCCAGTCCATGTTAGATGGGATTTGCTTGATTGAAGATCTAGGTTGAAATCCTCAACTTGATTGAAGTCAGTATTTGCAGCTCTGGTCGGAGTGTCAGGTGAAACGGAGTGAGTTGGATCCAGTACAGTCAAAGAGGTATGGCCCAATTCCTTTTCCGGAGCATGCAGGGATTGTCGCCAGACGGGTCTTCATTGGCTGTATGGGACTCAAACATAAGTGTCAGCAGAGAAA